TGTATTTTTATGTTATTATTAGAATCTAGATAAAACCCATTAAGTTTGTACTTTTATTAAAAGCATTGCATTATTTAATAATAAGATGTTTTATAATAATTATATTTAAATACAAAATTATTAAAAATTTTTTAACTTCTTATCGAAAGATTTATATGAATGGCTTAAATTAACTTCCCATTCATTTATTAATTAAATCTTAAAATGTAGTGTATTTTTAGTCAGAAATTAATTTTCATTTTTACATTTTATGATTGATTTTATTAATGCCGTTCAAGCATTCAATTTATAAATTATAGTTATAATGAAGTAAAAAATGAGTAAATTTTCACTTTTTTCTTCAATAATGTTATAATATGTGTGGAAAATACAGTCTAATGAAAAATTAACTCTAAATATACTGATAAAATGTGAAAATGTGATTAAATGCGGAAATGAGAAAAAACACTAATAAACAAAATATTATAACAATTAATCGTAGAATTTTGACAATGAATTTATCTATTAAATGATAAATTATGAATAATTCACTTCTTTATAAATCTATTGTTTAATGCATTTAATACAAGATATGGGAAGTTATTGTCGCGTCAATATTCATACAGCAAAATCCAAACCATTCATTTAATTGACTTATTTTTAACAATTATTGTCATTAAGCTATTCATATGACATTCATTTTAAATAGATTCCTGTAAGAGAATTTAGCATGATAACTACTAACATTATACAGCATATTAAATAGTTTGATTACTACAATAATTAAGTTGGTATTATTTTGTCTGTATTTAGTAAAATTTGAATTCGTTTTGAGCCAAAATGAGACTTTAAATCATTGTTTAAGATGTTTGTCCAATTATCACATCCAATCATTAAATTGTCTATACTTTTCAATGTCTATTAAAATAGACACAAAAATCTGAATTTCGATTGAATTTATAGCCATAATTCAACTTATATTATAAATTATAACTTATAATTTCAGTTAACTTATAATTTATAATATAATTTTATAATTTATAATTTCAAAGTAATAAATAATTCAATCCATTGCAAGAATTCATTATAAAGAGTATAAATATGTATTGATTACAAAAAATTAAATATCGATAAATATTGCTCAGAAAAACATGTATTATTTATAACATTACAAAAAACATTATTATGTAATAAATAAATTTGAGATTAAATTTTATATCAATAAAATATTTAGTTTTAAAAAATATATAAATATTTGTTCAAAATATTAACGACAATATATTAATTGATTTATAGATAAAACATTTGTTAAACAATGACTAGAAATTGAGAATCAATTTTCAAAAGTTTTACATAATTTTATATTAATTTAATCGTAAATATTTGGTTTGAATTAGTCTTTCAGTGATAATTCATTTGTTGGTGAATCGCATCCACAGATTGCGCCGAATTTGCAAACATTTGGCAATTGTTTCACGCATTCAATCAGTTGTTCCCTATTGTTGTCCCACATCTCGAGTCCACATTTGGTCACATTCTTCAGCGAACAGGGAATCACTGGCATTATATTGAACTCGTGGAACAGTCCTCTCGCCTGTTGTGTCCATACAATTGATTACATTATAATTCGTTGATTGCATTAATAACTCAATTCATTGATACCTTTCTGAGAATCAACTTTCCATTCATATTCATTGAGAGTGTACTGAAATGGAAGAGCACTTCATCGGAATCCATGTCATGAGTGATGACATCTTTGCCATAAATACAGATAACGGCTAAACACACGAAGAGATGGAAGTAATACGTCTGGAAGTGAGACCAACACGACTCCCATATGTGAAGCGCTTCCTTCTCATGAAATTCACGTTTAAAACACAACAGAATCCAGCGATGAGTGAAGAGTAGGCCCAAGTCGTTGGGGAATCGTGTGATGTGTTGATAGAATCGGGGGTACATTAACCGTAACAGTTCCCGAAGTAATGCCTAATTGTGTAAAATATAGATAATGTAATGAAATATCAATTAAATATATGCGTTCAGCAATAATAACCAGATTGTAGTCCATATCGGTGTCTTTGGGAGAGCAGACAAAGCGTGTCAATCGCATCATTGAATCGAAACACCAGAAGGTCTTGTCTTCGGTCTGGATTTCGCAGAGAAGTGGTGCCAATAGATCCGACATTCCCTGAGTGTAACCCATTTGCGGACAATAGAGAGCAAAGTTTATTAATATTCTTCTCATTTTGTCGATATTATGGTTGTTATCGCCGGCAAAGTATGGATTTGAGCGGTCAGTGCGCGGGACGTCCTTCTCTACAATGCTCTCAATGTGTCTCCAAAACCAATCCCTCTCTTCGTCACTCATTGTCTTCATTTTGCCACTGATTTCGTAATACTGTTTAGATTTGAGCGAATCGTCGGCTTCTCTCTCGGAATACGTCGATTCAAATTCATATCTTTTCAACAGAAACGGCCAAATCTTTCGCCGAAGAGACGGATCAACACCGGCGAAGAATACGGCCTTCCGTATGGACTGTTCGTCCATCACTTGTCCCAATTCGTTGACGCTCTCTGACCACTGGTCGGCGTCGACACACATGTATAGCTCCTCTTCGGGATGGCATTCATGGGAATCGAGTTTCGGCCGACAGATAGAGAACTGCAATGAATTGGTTTCCTTCGATGTCTCGGATTTATCCCAAAAGTCTAAACCATTTAAGACATTGAGAAGTCTGTCTAAACCTCCGCAATGAAAATCAAACACTTTATAAAATGAATCTCTGCTCACAATAACCAGTTGTCCGCTGGTATTGTCACCGCCTGAGCCGTCACTACTCGTGTCCCACTCATCGCCGCCGAAGAATACACGCAAAGACTTTATTTGCTTTAAGTCCGCACTGAATGTGTTGATCGACGTCTCGCTGTTGGCACTCCTCTTGAGTGGAGTGTTTCGACAGCTCTGACACCGCCGGACACACAGACCATCCATCCGACCGTCGACTGTATCGACACTCTCTTCGGCCGCACTGTTCCTGCGTTTGCGCTCACCATCGCTGGAATGACTAGATTTGGAGGTATTCTTGTAATTATTATTATCTTTATTGATGCAGATTTTGAATTCGGACACAAATTCTTCATCACTTGATGCGTCCCCTCCTATCACTATCTTCTCATTGCTTTTCTCATTGGTATCCAATTTATGAAGCAATTGGTTGCCATCGATCGGCGCATCGCTTCCTATGATATGATTATTTTGAACGCAATTCTCGTAATTGTGGTCCAAATGTTTGGTCAGACACTCGTTGGGCGTCCACTGAAGACATAGTGTCCACAACTGGTCGTCGTCGCCAACCGTATGGCCACTAGTGTTGTGATGGGTTTTGATGGTGAGGTAACCCAAATTGTGGACCAATTGGTTGGTGTGCCGGTCGATGGCGTGGACGCAGACATTGTTCTTACTGTAGACCACTTCCTCGGGTAAGCCATCACCGGATGACTGCTTTCTGGTGGCGACGGCCGACAGATTCAGATAAGTGGTCGCCCTCTTCAGCAATGTCTGCAGCGTTGCACTCATTTAGTGGCGACTCTCGGGTGGTCTTCGGGGCCGCAATACGGACTGATCACTGGTTGGAAGCGATGGCGACGATCATTGATATGCCATATGTTGTGCTAATTATTTACAATTAATCGCTTTTCACATTCAATACGAAACGTTTGTATTGTTTCTCTCCATTCACTGCTCTTTTCAATATAATTCTCTCATTACTTGTCATAACATAACTGTTTGTATTATTCTCTACATTAATATCGAGTATATATTATGGTTATTGTTATACATGATTGCATTGAATATTACTTTTAGTTATATAATTGCAAACATTGTTCATAATATTAGTGAACATATTGTACGCAAACATATAGTGTTTGGTTGTATTAATTGCTTATAATATGCAGTGATTTCTAAGATTGAAATTCTGTTAATTCTGTTGAGAATCACAGAATATTCTGGCGTTTGAATGAAAATCGTATTCTGATTGACATATTTGCAAAACTATTGATTATTTTGCAGTTAAATAGATTTAAATTAAATTATATAATTATATTTCAAACTGTTATAAATTGTTCACAAATTAATTGATTAATTAATTAATAAAATAATTAATAAAACCAATGAAATTCATGACAACAACCGCTGCCTAACAGACAATTTCTGTGCCGTTATTTATGACCGGTTTGTTTGTTATGATTGCATTTGAAGCACATTTACACACATTTCTTGTAATCAAATAAAACTTTTTTGTGAATTAAATTTGATTTGAATTTAATTTTTTTGTTTAACTGTTGACTCGTTTAACACATTCACAAACAATGAGAGCTTTGGCCAGACTTTGCTCACAAGTGGTGAACATTTCAATGAATAGGTATTTGTTTGCCGGCAATCGACCCATGGATTCATGTCTTACTCGTGATTATCACACTTTCAGGACTGGATTTCTGGTCAACAGATCGCAGATAATGAGGACATGTCTGCAGCGATGGACGCAAACGCAGACATTGACGACGGCTGCCGATGGGCTGATCCAACCGCCGGCCGCCTCTATAGACGACAAACAATATCCCGAAAAGATTGTCAAAATAGTGGCCGACATCTCAAACCTGACGCTCATTGAAGTCTCAGATCTCAATCAATTGCTTAAAGTATTGATTGAATTCATTTTAAATGAACACTTGTTTTATAACAAATACATTATTCATAACACTTAGAAAACGTTAAACATTGCGGACACACCGATGATGGCTATGGGAGCTATGCCTATGGCCGCCGCCGCACCCGCAGAGGTCAGTACCCCTTTTATACGAGACTTGTATTAAACAAATGACTGATTGTTTTTTGAATGACAGGAAGAGGAGGAAGAGGTGGCCTCAAAGACCGTTCAGACGTCCTTCACGTTAAAACTCAATAAGTTTGACGACACGAAGAAAGTGGCGCTCATTAAGGAGATTAAAGCAGTGGTTGAGGGCATGAATTTAGTTCAGGTATGGCCTGCAGAGCACATCTACTACTTGATTGTCTTTTAGTGTTAATTTGTTGAATTCATTGCGTTTATAATTTTTTAAAAATTTGTAATTATAGGCCAAGAAGTTTGTGGAATCGGTTCCGCAGATAATTAAAGCTAATCTACCTAAAGATGAGGCCGAGAAACTGAAGACAGCCCTCGAGGCCGTCGGCGGTGTCTGTGCTATTGAATAGGCGTTTAATTCATATATTGAAACCATTATATCGATAGTCTTTTCTATGTTTTAAAAGTTGTCATAAAATATATAGTAAATTGTTTTCTAAAAACAGTAGTAATTTTCAATAATAATAAAAGTTATTTAAATTTGAAATAATTTAAAATAGCGTTTAATTTATACTGCAATTAAGCTAAACTACATTTTATGTTACTAGTAATAACGCTACTATTAATGTTTGGGCCAATTATGATGTAATCATTTATTCAAGTCATTAATTGCCAAAAATATAAATTTTCTTAAGTAAACCACATTTGACGTCAAAGATCTGGGAAATTGATAATTAAATTAAGTGATAGAAGTGTACAGAAGTGTAGAGCTGTTGTCAAATGTATAAACTTCTAACTTGAAATTTTACTCATTTTGAACATTGTAACTTGAATTTTTCTAACTTGAAATCCTTCTATCTTGAAGTCATTTGTCAAGACCCGACCATTTCAAGATACAAGGTTTTTCTGTACTAGTAATATTAATGTAATGTTACTATTAATGTTTGGGCCAATTATGATGTAATCAGTTTTTCAAGTCATTAATTGCCAAAAATATAAATTTTCTTAAGTAAACCACATTTGACGTCAAAGATCTGGGAAATTGATAATTAAATTAAGTGATAGAAGTGTACAGAAGTGTAGAGCTGTTGTCAAATGATGAGACGAAAAGGGTTTCTCAAAGAATGCATTCAATGTGACTGTTATGCAAATTCTGTTGTTTTTGTTAACGGTTTCTATATTAAGAATTTAATGCAAATCTAAACAGTTATATAACTGTTATATAAATACTATATGTTTTGACGAACACTCAGTCTCGACAATAGATGTTGACATCGATTGTGAGACAATGAATAAAAAACTCGAAGACATATAAAACACACAACAGAAGCACAGATGCGAGGGAGAGGTCAGGCCTGACATTACCAGTGCTTTGCATCCAATATTAAGTTCTTCCCACGGAATCCCTTGCGATACAAGATTTGTGGCTTTTATATCACTGGCAAACCTCTACTCAAACATGTTGTAAAAGGGGATATACAGTGTAGTGTGTGTTGTTTTGGGTTCACTAATGCATTAAATACTAGTTTTTATATATTTTATTTAATATACAGAATAATCATCATGTACGTATATCGTAAATATAATGGTGTGTATTAAACACACTTTGTATTATCAAGTGTTGTGAGTTTTATTAGCCAATCACTGCTTTAAAAAGCGTAAGCCCTCACAAATGTTAAGCGCTGATTATATATTGATGTCTTAAACATTAAAACAATTATTTAGTGATATATCACTCCATTGAAAGGTGTGTCCAAATTAAGTAAAAATGAGGGAAAAAACTTAAGCGCAAATCAATTGCCAAAAAAAACACTTATTTTTTCACACAAATATGGTCTTAAAGTTTGTTTCTTTCTTTTCCATTCAATTTTCTTCATTTACATTAGTTTTCACTTAAAACTTATTTATTTTATAAATAGTTTTTCGCGAATTAAGCATTGAATAAATTTTAACGCATTTCCAAAGCGAATGGATTTTAAATAAAGTGTTTTCTTATAAATTGAATTTAAATTTATGGCTAAAATATTCTGCGAAATGGGAATCAATTTTTGTCGTGAAATTCAATTAACTCTTTTTTGATTATAACTACAGTATACAGGATTCTCAACACACGTAATATACCCGGAGCTTTGTTGGCAATTATCTAGATTTATTTTATACAATACTATACTGTAGTTATAGTCACAGCGCTTAGTCCTTACAATTGTTAGCATATTTAATGTCTCGAGAATATAAGGTATTACTAATCATTTCCTGCGTCCTATTGTTACCAAAACATAGAGTAATGTTAAGATATGCTGTAATATACTGTGATATAATAACGCTGTTGTCTATAGTGATAGAGAACAGTATTGTCTAATATTTGATGCAATAAAAGCCTATTAAAAAGCGTATGCATTATCCCAGGAGAGAGAGAGAGAGAGAGAGAGAGAGAACATGAAAGGTAGAGCATGCCATCCCTACCGGCCCTCCCATTCCTCCCATACGACACACTGCCGTATAATTGGCGTTAAATGAGTTTGTTATACAAAATTGATGTCTTTTTGCCTATCGATCGATATATATAGAGAGAGAGAGAGAGAGAGAGAGAGAGAGAGAACATAAAAGGTAGAGCATGCCATTATTAGCCATTTAGGGTGAGCCTGGATATAGTAATTGTCCAAATTGTGTTCGTATGTGATATGAAATTCTCAATTTCAGGCCATTATAGTCATCAAAATGGAAAAATCCATAAATTTTGAATATATCTGAAAGGATGTTGCGGTTAGACATCTCCTTCCCCTGCCGTTTGTCTAAACCTGATTTCATGTGTTAATGAAAATAAATGGCTTTTATTCAGTGAAATATCTACATATCTCTATATACAGTATATTTTATGGGACGTACAATGATGTAGGAATTATTTTTTGTCATCAATTGATGAATGTTCATTGAAATATTCATAAAATATTATAACTACAGGAAAATGATTATTTGAATTGTTGAACATGTTTTTTCGGCTGCGATTATAAAGTTATGAAATACTTGTAAAGAGAGAAAAGTGCATAACATGTTTGAATGTATTAAATATACATTGTATTGAAATATTTGCCACACTTTTGACATTATATGACAGGTCTATTTAGGTGATCGAGGATAAGGCTAGGGTTGTGTGCATTGTATGAGTGAATAGTATAGTCTTGGAAACTAGTTATTCGCTCCGGAGTTGCGATTAGATTCTTGAGAAAAAAACAGTAGTAATAAGTTTTGCGATAATTTCATAAACTTATAAATTATAAACGATTATAACTTAGACTCGTATAGCGTATGAAATATTATTGTTTCGTAGGATATATGATATACTCTACAGAATATATACTACTCTTATATAATTAAAGCAAACATTATTTCTACATATCTTTGCAAGTATTGTAAAAAGCGATATCAATGTTGAGACAAAAATCATGAAGTTTGAATTGAGGGCTCTGGGGGCAGGTGTGTGCCGGCCATACAATCATCGTATTAACCATATTGGAAAAGTTTGGTAAAGCAAAAAGAGTATGTTTTATATATCGATCGATAGGCAAAAAGACATCAATTTTGTATAACAAACTCATTTAACGCCAATTATACGGCAGTGTGTCGTATGGGAGGAATGGGAGGGCCGGTAGGGATGGCAGGGAAGCGGTGGAGGAGATAGTGGTTGTAGTGGTGATCGAGAGAGAGGGGGTGGGGGAGTGAGGAGAGAGAGCGATGGCCTCCACGGGTGTGTCGTCAATATATAGCGTAAGCCAGTGTTCAATACAATAGTGCCATAGAAGGAGTGCTTTGGAGCGCACGCGCTGTTGGGGTCAGCCGTCGCTCCGACTCACACACACACTGTTGAGAAGGCATACAAACGGTTTGAGTAAAGCATTGAAAAGCATTACAGGAGTTGTGAAACACAAATCTTTTGTCAAAAAATTGTATGCATTTTGAAACTCAACACTCATTTCAATACAACAATCCATTGAAGAGTTGTGTTGTTGTGTTTGCATGAGATTTGTCGCCGATTTGTGTTTCGGCCACTGATTAGATCCCTTCGATCCTAATCCGTGGTTTAGGATTAACGATACCATCGGTTAATCCCTTGCGAGCCGTTTGTCCCACACTTTTCTCTCTTGTTTTTAACATTGTTTTCACTCATCGATTGTGAATGTGTTTTGAATTTCATTTTTTAATTGTGGTTTGAATTGTGTGTCAATTATCTCGTGATAAACACTCATTGAGTTAACCAAAAAAACAGCACTTATTTTAACGGTAAATACGAGTCTTTATTACAACTAATTATAAGTATATGTATAATAAGTTTTGTCATGTTTTTAATGTTTGTTTTTATGCGAGCGTTAAATGTGTTCAAAATTAGTATATTGTTTGCCAAACAATTAAATTGATGTTTTGAACCATAAATTGATGGCTCGTTATAATGATTGCACACAATGTATAACAAACTGCTACACAAATGAATGACCATTTGATTGATATAGCGATTCATTGATTGAATAGTTTTGGCATTTAATGTGTTTAATGTCTGACTCTTTTCGTCCCAATTTCGATAGCATTAAGTGTTTGACACCAATATAGTTTTAGTAATGGGGGGTAATCTTATCTAGGTAACATTACCCCTGTTTTGAAAAATCGCATTTTTACTGGATTTCACATAATATTACCGGTGTTTTTATGAGAGTATATACGGTATTTAAATTTGAAAACAAGTGGAAGATTTTGAGCACAAATTGAAATGTTTAAGCCATGAGTTAAACATAGAAACAACTCATTTCTCAAATATTTTACATGATTTCATGTATTAGTGGTGTATAAGAGTAGAGATACTAAAAAGTCGACTCCGATTTCAAAATAACATCAATTATATACACTTTGAGAATAGAAATCAATTGTTGGCATATAATACACAGCAATCAGTTGATAGCCTTTTAACACATTCTCAACACTTTATACTAAATCCTCAATAAATACGGGAATAAAAAATACGATAGAAAACAGTTAAATATCAAATCCAATACAAAAAGACAGCAAAACAAGAGCTTTACGTGTTATCTATTAATGTAATGAATATAAAAATAAAAAACTAATTGAAATATTTGACAATTAAGTGGAAGGGATAGCTACAGTTAAATATCAAATCCAATACAAAAAGACAGCAAAACAAGAGCTTTACGTGTTATCTATTAATGTAATGAATATAAAAATAAAAAACTAATTGAAATATTTGACAATTAAGTGGAAGGGATAGCCAAGAGATGATGGATTGGGGGACCGGGAGGTGTGTGTTGTGTGGACTAACTTTATTGAGGGGCAGTACGAGGAAAGCTCCGCCACCGGCGGCCTCGATAACGACGGCCACAAACTTGGGATTAACGGCACAGAAGTTGGAATCCCAAGAGTTCTTCGATATACGGATATTGTCGTAACAGTTCTCCTTCTTGAGGGCCTTCCCGAACACGTGACGGAATTTACTCGTCCTTACAATCGTTTTCGACATATTCTTCTCTCTCTTCGCTGTCCTCTATATGAGTAAATCTGTCTTCAGGTCAGACATTAAATACACATTAAAAACACAATTTAAAACATCATTTCATGTAAATATATATTTTTTTATATATAAAGCGGTCGTTATATTAATTGCAGACATTATACACATCGGACATCACATCAGATCTGCTTATAACCACAGTTTGTGAATTACGATAGCTTTAACCCTGCTTTTCTCAGTCTGTAATTTGTGTAATTTACGGTTTTGATAAGTTAGTTACTTAGCGATATAGTTAGTTTACCAGTAAGTAAACACATCTGTTTGTTGTGTGCAATCATTATAACGAGCCATCAATTTATGGTTCAAAACATCAATTTAATGGTTTGGCAAACAATATACTAATTTTGCACACATTTAACGCTCGCATAAAAACAAACATTAAAAACATGACAAAACTTATTATACATATACTTATAATTAGTTGTAATAAATACTGATATTTACCGTTAAAATAAGTGCTGTTTTTTTGGTAACTCAATGAGTGTTTATCACGAGATAATTGACACACAATTCAAACCACAATTAAAAAACTCAATTCAAAACACATTCACAATCGATGAGTGAAAACAATGTTATGTTTTACGCAAAAAAAAACAGACAAAACTGTGGGACAAACGGCTCGCAAGGGATTAACCGATGGTATCTTTAATCCTAAACCACGGATTAGGATCGAGGGATCTAATCAGTGGCCGACACAAATCGGCGACAAATCTCATGCAAACACAACAACACAACTGAAGTTACCTAACAACATAACTTTACTCACAACTCAAAGTTTTACGTATGTTAAAAAACTGTTTTCTAAACACAAAGTGTTGAGGACATTACGAAAAGTTACGAAATGAGTTTGGCAAACATACGGAGAACACAGTGTGTGTGTGAGTCGGAGCGACGGCTGACCCCAACAGCGCATGCGCTCCAAAGCACTCCTTCTATGGCACTATTGTATTGAACACAGGCTTACGCTATATATTGACGACACACCCGTGGAGGCCATCGCTCTCTCTCCTCACTCCCCCACCCCCTCTCTCTCGATCACCACTACAACCACTATTACCGTTTCAGCGAAACTTGATAAGGCCGCGTAATTATTTTCATGTACCATCTGAAATAAATTGCATTGAAATGTATTGAATGTGTGTTTTTGCACACGGGTTTGCTTTCAATACATTTCAATG